TATTTATTTGATGATTGCTCAACTTACTCCATACTATTGCTCAACTTACTCTGCTGAGGCAGGTTGAGCAGCTCAGCAAACTTTAGTTAATATCTTCTCAAAAAAAAATAAAAACCATACTTTCTTTTTTAACAAATTATTAACAGGTTAAGTTATCTTGAAAATATTGAAAAAGTTATGTAAATCTGACGCACTGTTCATGAGGTCTGTTAAATTTATTAAAACTTGCTCAACTAACCCCGCTCTATTTTACCTTATAAATGTTTTGCATTAGAAGTGTGTGTTGCAGGCGAGCCTCTTTTACATGAAACATTATCTAACTGTATAACAGTTAAAAACTGTTGCTTGGGCTGATTTGAATTTCGCTTGTGTGTTTCATGAAAATAGTTCATTTCTGCGTAAACGTATAAGGTAAAACTAAAACATAATTGTTTAGGCATATTTATATGCCAGTTTTTTTGTTTTATTTTGTTTTAGTTGATAACCTTTAGTGAAGTTTTGAAACCTGTAGAAGGTAGTCTGACAACAGCATTTACTAAAAAATTTGCATGGTAACAAATTTAGGTTTGCAGATTTTATTTGATTTTAATAAACATTTTCTTGTATACATTTTCAGTTTCATTAAATCTATTTAACTTTCCTTAGATACAAAAAAACAGTTTTGGCCATCAAAACTGCATCAACACCTGCTTGCATATCAATTTCATTAACCTTTACCTCTTAGTGGTCTTTCAGTTCTTTCTTTATGATACACCTTGTTTTAAGAGAAAAAAAAACACACACATATATACACACATATACCGTGCTTTTTTTCTCTTAGAAAGCACCTTTTTTTTTTATATATATATAAACATTTTTTTCCCTCGTATTGTTATATAATGTGTTAAAAATTCTTTACATTGAAAATGCAAAAGTGGGTTTTAAAAATCAAGTAAAAGATGTTTTTATAATCAAGATCAAGTAAGACATAAGTATAAAACATTTGAAAACATTACTGCGCTGCATTTCAGAATCTATTGTTTCTTAGTAAAATCTAAATTTGCTTGAGAAGAATTTACCTTAACTTATTTTCTTGTTTATTTTGTTTGTTTTTATGATGCCAAATTATTTTTTGTCTGAATATCAATTCCACAACCATTTGCGTTTCAAAGAAGTTCTATTGTTTTTGTGCAATATTTGTCCAAATGCCTTATGATTTTTTAGAACACGAACTTTACGCTATTTGCTACAATAATGTAAGATATCAATTAAACAAAATAACACAAAACAAAGTATGAAAAAAACTTGACTGCACAACCTGCAGTGAAATCACTTGGCATAGATTGCCATAATAAGAAAATTTCTTATTATTAGATAGAGAGCAACAGTTAAGTTTAATATGTAAGAAAATTTTTGGTCACAAAAAATGGGGACTTTAAACTGCATTAAAGATAATAGAAGAAGCTAAAAATATCTTTTTTCAAAAGTATTTTAAAAGTCTTTAAAAAGTGAGGAAATTGTAACAGCTTTTTCGAATATTATTTTTGTCTTAATAAGCGTCAATTTTTCAAAATTTAAGATTTGAAAATAAAATTGCTTCAGAGTTGTTTCATTCACCAGAGTTGTTTCAGCCCCCTACATTAGCTTTTTAATTGCATTTAGCATAAAGTACTTCACCAGTAGACTGCCACAAGAGTGTAAAAACTTTGTATTGTTTACGTTTCACAGACGCTACTATATTACACTTTATAATAAATAAATTTATGGGTGCTTTTACATTTTTACAAAATTTTCTTTAAATAAGCGATAGCCAAGAGTTTAATGCTTTTCAGCATGATGCTTCTTCTTTTACAACTATCTATATATATAGTTCCCTTAACAAGTTATTTTTGACTAAAATAAATGTCTCTTGTTTAAGTTGAAATACTGCTGTTTATAAATTCTTCCTCATTGAAAGCAACAAGTTCATTGTGTTTAAGTTCACAAAAAATAGCTTTAGATGCAGGACAACAGCTCGGAGAACTAGCACTCTGTTTTGTTTTATAAATTAGCATTAAAAGAACTCATCACTGTAGTAATATCTACTTCAAAAAAAGCTTTTTTCGGATTGTACCACAATGCATTACACATTTGACAATTTGTGGGAAAGGTCTATTGCTTTATTTTGACATATGTATCAAAAATATCAAGATTTTAAAATATGAAATATTGTACAAAAATTTTCATGTTGCCTTCTCCAGTTTTACAAAAAAAAAATCTTTTTGTCATATTGTTTGTCTTACAGCTTACCAAAAGCAACCATACCAAAGGTGTATAGTTTATTTACAAAATCGTATAACCAAAACTACTCAATGCAATAAAAAATACTTGTTACTGTCATTAATTGTTGCTCTATTATCAATTAAAAATTAATTGATGCTCTATTACCAAAACAAAACTAATTTTGTAGAATCAATGTTTATAACACACTCGTTACTAGCTCCTTTTAACAAGTTGTGTAAGTTTTTTTTCATCTTTTTCAAAAGAACAACTCTCTTGAGAACAAACGGCTATTTATTATTGCAAGAAATCGATGTAAAAAGGTGCTTTCTGATGCTAAACTCCATTATTCTCAGTTCACTAAATCTCGCATCTTATCGCAGAAGTTAGGCTCTAAAGACTTTTGGAAAATCTTCAACAGCATTGTTAACAAGGGTAGATCTAACATTCCATCTCTCATTCATGGGACTGATCTTGTTACCTCTCCCAGGGATAAGGCAGAACTGTTTGCAAAGAACTTTTCTTCTAATTCCACTCTTGAATCTTATGGACATTCTCTTCCTTCCATTCCAGTCAAACAGGTTGACCCATTGTTAGACATTCAAATCACTCCGGCTTCTGTTGCTAAAGTCATATCTCAATTAAACTCGTCTACAGCTTGTGGTCCAGACAACATTCCTGTCACAGTCTTGCAGAATTGTTCTCCAGAACTTTCTTCAATTCTCTCTAAACTATTTAACAAGTGTTTGACTGAGTCTTGTTTTCCTGCTTGTTGGAAAATGGCATCTGTGGTTCCAATATTCAAAAACTCTGGAGAAAATTCTGACCCCTCCAATTATCGTCCGATCAGTCTTCTTTCTGTTATTAGCAAGGTCTTTGAGTCTTTAATCAACAAATTCCTCACATCTCATCTTGAGTCAAATAAACTGCTGTCAGACAATCAATACGGTTTTCGATCCTCTCGCTCTACGGCCGACTTGTTAACTGCTGTAACTGAAAGATTTTATCGTGCATTAGATGGAGGCGGTGAGGCTAGGGCTATTGCTCTCGACATATCTAAAGCTTTCGACAAAGTTTGGCATGCTGGTCTTCTCCATAAGCTTGCTTCATATGGTGTTTCTGGGAAAGTTTTTGAGATTATCAAATCATTTCTTTCTGACCGGTTTATTAAAGTCATCCTTGAAGGCCAACACTCTTCTTTATTTCCAGTAACTTCTGGGGTTCCCCAAGGTTCCATCCTGGGCCCTGTTTTGTTTCTTATCTACATAAACGATCTTCCTGACAACCTTTCATCTAAAGTAGCTCTTTTTGCTGATGACTCAACTTTATACTCCTGTCTTGACAAAAAGTCTTCTCTTTTCGATCGCCTAGAACAAGCAGCTGATCTTGAATCTGATCTCACTTCAGTAATAGATTGGGGTTCACAGTGGCTTGTGAATTTCAACTCTAACAAAGCCCAGTTGTTTACTGCAAACAACTACCGTAATATGGTCAACATTCCTATATTAATGAATGGCAATCCTCTTACTGAGTCGTCCTCTTTACGTCTTCTTGGATTATCGCTTACTACTGACCTTTCATGGAAACCATATATACAATCGATTGCTAAATTAGCTTCTGCTAAGGTTGCTTCTCTTTATCGTGCTCGCCATTTCGTCCCTGTATGGAATACTGTTGTCATATTTGGGCTGGTTCTTCTAACGATTCACTCTCTCTTCTTGACAAGGACAAAAACGCATTGTAAATGTTGTTGGACCTGGACTATCTGCTAAGCTTGAACCTCTTTCCCATTGTCGTAAAGTTGCATCTCTTTCTCTTTTCTACAGATACTATCATGGTCACTGCTCAAAGGAGTTATCATCTCTAGTTCCATCAACTAAAATTCATTCTCGTTTTACTCGTCATTCAGCTAAGTCTCATTCGTTTTCTGCATCTGTCCCTGCATGCTCTAAAAACTTTTATTCATCTAGTTTTTTTCCCCGCACTTCCATTCTTTGGAACTCTCTCCCATCTTCATGTTTTCCTGACTCATACAACCTTCAACTTTTTAAGTCTTCTGTCAACCGTTTCCTTGCTCTATAACTCTGTTCTTTTTTTTTCCTAGTAACTCCCAACTTATTAGTGGTTGCTTGCAGCCTTGTTGGGAGTAAATGCAAATAAAAAAAAAAAAAAAAAAAAAAAGTACGAAAAAAATGTTCTAAGATCAAAGGTGCATACGGATTAAGGGTGCAAGTTGGCCCCTATGCTAAAAGGCTCTATGTCATTTTTTCAACCTTGAAGAAATTTCATGGCCGATGACACAGGTTTTGAAGTGGAGGGGCACAATCATCAATTTCTAAAAAAAGTCCTCTATATCTAGCATTTTCTAAAAAAAAAAAAAAAAAAGGTCCTTTCGAAAAAATTGGGAAGGGGGACCTGCCCACCACCCTCCTCCTTTCTTCCGCATTCCTTCCTCTCTCCGTTCTTTTCACTAATGTTGTCGGCCATCAATTTTCAAGTATGTACAATTTTTACTATTATTTTTTTACTTGGCAAATAATACTTGATGCTTCTCGCAAATAGAGCAAATAAGTTTTACTAAAAAAGTTTTTTTTTTTTATAAATAAAAAAAGAATTGAACTTTTTTAGAAAATATGCAAACTTTTTTTATTTTGATTAGTTTCCTAATATTTTTTTTTTCTAATTCATTAAGATTGAAGTTGTATTAAAGAAGTTTTTAACTTTATATTTTTAATTGTTTTGTTTTTTTGCATTTTTTCTAGCTTGCTGTCAGTCAATCTGATTTAACTTACATGGAGCAAGAAATTTGCCAGCTAAAAAAAACGAAGAATTAAATTTTTCTTTTGTATTGAAAGTACTGAGCATGGCGAAAAAGTATATTTATGAGAACTTGGTATTTTAACTAATTTTCTTATTAGTCGCTAGTTGAAAATAGCTGGTTTATAGTAATATAAACACGAATAGTATTGATTTATATTATAGATATAGTAAAGTAATGAAGTAAAAGATTATATTGTATCAAATTAATCAGAATATTATATTGTATTAATAAACTATATTTATTTTAGTATTAAAAATGACCATATATTTTACACAGTATATATTTATTATAAATTAACCATGTTGTTTTATTTTTACTTTTAAATAAATGATAATCACCTGGTTATTGTCAGTTACCCGAGTATTATGGGTCAAAATCTATTAAGAAGACAATCTTTGTTTCGAAGTTATTGCTAAAGTACTAAAACTATCACAAATGCTTTTTCCAAACATTAGTACATATTATAAATATAAAATTTTCAATTTAATCATTTGTTTCTGATTGTTATATAAAAAACTTTGAGCTGAACTCAGTCTCCCTAAAGAGTTTCTTACTTAAGAACTTCAGAAACACAACACATTAAGTTGATATAAAATATCATTTAATAATGTTTTAATAATTTAAGTCTGATTTAAAAAAGAAAAAGAAGTTACTTAAGAAGTTTGGAGAGAATAAATTTAGAAAAAATCAGTAACAAAATTTTTATATTTTAAAATATTTTTTTTTTAATAGTTTTTTTAAAGCAATATTATTTAAATTAATTATTAAAAACTTATTCCAGATATGGAGTGCAAGATAAGTAATTTTGAATTGCTAAAGCTTATTTTTGTATGAAGGCTCTACCAGGACACTATTTGTGCACAATAAATATTTATACTCTAGTTTTTGTTCATAAAGACTAAAAAAATTGAAGTACTTTTTTGCATTTTGCTATTATACGTAAGACTTTAAACATATACATTTTATACAAGACGTTTTGAGTGTTCTTTTTTATTTTTAAAATTAATCACACCTATAGCATGCTTCTTTTTACTATAGAGGTTATAGTTTCGTTTTATAGGTACTATCCCATGCTATATTGATAAAAGGTATAACAAACAATTAAACAAGGTCATAGCAGATTTGTTTGAGTAGTTTTATATATATATATATATATATATATATATATATATATATATATATATATATATATATATATATATATATATATAAGTCACGTGACTTATAAAAAACTATACCAACAATTTTAGCAAAATTTTTCCAGCCTACTGTAACAAAATATCCAAAAACATGTTTTTGGATATTTTACGACCTAAATAAGATATATGTCTATTCCAGTTTAGATTTTCGTGAATAAAAACACCCAAAAATTTTGTAACAGTATCCCTACTTATTTCTCTATTTTCAGTTAACAATTTCGGAAAAGGAAATTGAATTTCTTTTTTTTAAAAGGAAGGATGAAATAAAAAAAAACTTTGCTTTACTTGAATTAATAGAAAGTTTGTTTTCCCTCAAACCATTCTGAAATTTTTTCTTATTCATTGTTCATTTCTACGTACAGTTCGCTAACTATTCCAGAATTAAAAAAGTTGCTATCGTCAGCAAACATTATAGTTGAAGTTCTTTTAGATGCCATTAAGAGATCGTTTACATAAATTAAAAAAAACAAAGGCCCAAGTATTGATCATTGAGTTAGTTACCATATTCTATTAAAAACGGATTAGAGAATATATTGTCTCCGTAATATCCGTATTGCACACGTTTGTCTAAATAGCTTTCTATCCAAAAATAGCTTTCTATCTAAAGCTTTATATGTATGACATAAGACGTAAAATTCTTATGCCATATATCAAGCTTTGATAATATTTTGTGGGTCGATTGTTTAAAAAGCTTTAGAGAGATATATAAAAACACTCAACGACACTTAATAACGCTTAATAAACACCTCTCCGTTTGCAAAAGAGTTTTTTAATTTCTTCAGCCAAGTAAAGGATTGCGTGTTCAGTTGATGTATTTTTTTAAAAACTCAACTGCTTGGAATAAATAAGATTATTTTCTTTAATAAAAGTATATAACCTATTGTGCATAATTCTCTCAAGTTTCAACATTCTATCATTTTAAAGATTGTTGCAAGTATTGATATTGTTCCAAAATTACCTATTTCACTGTATCTCCTGACTTGCATATAGGTTTTACTTTAGCAGTTTTTAGTTTTTTATAAAAATAATTTTCTTTAGAGAGTGTTTAAAATTTTTGAATAAAGAAATTTTTAGCTCATTGTAGTAGTTAATTACTAGGTTGCTACTGACATCGTCGATTCCGGTAGCCTTGCTTCTTTTAAAAGGCTTTTAAAAGCCTCATTAATTTCTAACATGGTTAGTTTTTTGTTATTTAGCTCATTTCTATGACAACTTAAATATTTATTTACACGAGAAAATTGAGATGTAAATTCAAATCCTACATTAACAAAGAAGTTGTTAAACTCATTTGCAATGTCGTTTTCATTATCAGTTGATTTGTGATTAATTTTTTTAGTTTCAGGAAAACACGCTATGTTAATTTTTGGTTTTGGCTTACCAATGATTTCATTTAATAATTGCCATGTTTTTCTGGAATCTGTTTGACACTTTTTAAGTTGTTTATTAAAATAACACAATGTAACAACATTTTTGTTTATGTTAATTTTTTAATGTTTTTTACATTTGGTATGCTGATTTGAGTGGTACCATTGGTTTTACTTTATCATCAAAATTTTCTGAGAAAAAGCATAAAGTATATTTTGGAGTTTTCGTATATGTGTAATGCATTTATAACTTTATATACATATATATATATATATATATATATATATATATATATATATATATATATATATATATATATATATATATATATATATATATATATATATATATATATATATATATATATATATATATATATATATATATATATATATGCTGATTTTAACTCATTTTCTCTATGTATATGCTGATTTTAACTCTTTCTCTCGTGGATTTGCTTTTCTCTCCGGTGAGCCAACGTCAGCGGCTTTGTATATTTTGAGTATTTTTTCTATAATCGCAATTTTAATATTACTTTTCATCATTCTAGTTTTTTAAGTATTCAGTTGTCACTTTCTTTGTTATTGTTTATGTTTATTTATGTTGATTTAAAGCATTTTTTTAAATAAATATTTGCACATTTTGGGTAAGATTTTTTTAACAAATGTTACTGAGAGAATGAGTTAACTATATTCCTTTGTATATTTTCAGTTTAACTAATTACAGCTGTTATATAAATTGGTGAATGTTTCTAGTAGATCCTGCAAGCTTTGTCCTGACTCATTCTGTTATGTTTGTGATCAGAGGCTTAGACATAATTTTTTGTTGTTCGAGATAGGTAACTTCCAGACATGGAGCAAACTTCAAACATTTATATTTTTATATTTATTTCAAATAATGAGGCTTTGCAAAAAATTGTGATGAGTGGAGGCTAGGAACAAAAAAAACCTAAAATTTTCGCCCCTCCTGCCCCAAACGTGAGAGCAACAAATTGATAAAATATTTTTTGTACTATTCTTAACTAGACTTATGTTCATCGATAACTTTTAAGTTTCATAGTAAAATCTCTCAGCGTTTAATAATTATGAACCTAATTAGTTTGAGCCCCCTCAATTTGAGGGGGTTACAAAATTTAAACGGTCATAAATTATGAGCGCTCAAAGATTATACTATGAAACTTAAAATTTATCGATGAATATATCGATGACCTCCGTCTGTGATTACTTTATTTGTCCAAGACAAACTAAACATAAGAATGTCATGCTTATTTTGGCATGGCTATGGGAGATCAGGACAAATCGTGGGCGCCACACTAAAATTGTGGCAGCTGCAGATCAATTCTGGAAGGATGGCTGCGTGGAATCCGAAAGTCAATGCCCTTTGCGATTCCAAGAATACGGAGAGAACCGATGAACCATCATGATGACTGATATTTCTGCATGGTTGACATTTTAAAGTATAAAAAGCCAAAGATAGTCTGTTTCTAGTTTATCCAAGTATACCCTCTTCTATTGGACTAGTTCCACACAGTGATGAATTGCCTGTTCCTAACCCACTTCAATCCGAAGTAGCAGTTGCATATCATTCTAATGTAGACACACCGGATGAATTCCGTGATGACTGTGGTTTCAGGGAACTGAATGATTCACCTCATTTCCCTAACCAACAAGAACTTAATGACTTAGTACGAGATTTAGGTCTCACTAAATCAAATGCAGAACTTCTGACATCACGTTTGAAAGAATGGAGTTTATTAGATCCAAGCTGCAGAACCTCAAAATACCATAAAAGTCATGAAACATTTGCATTCTTTTAAGTAGTATCAGAATCACTGTGCTTGACTACTCTAGCTTTGACAAACAAATTGTCAAAGCTAGTGTAGCGTTCCAGCATATTCGGCAAATGTTTCCAAATGTGTCAGATGCAAAATTTTCAGCAGGTGTATTTGTTGGTCCGCAGATTAAGGTTATGTTGGCAATTAAGGAGCTGAAGGACAAAATATCTGTTGTTGAAAAAGGAGCATGGATTGAATTTAGACATGTTGTTTATAGTTTTATAGGCAAAAATAAGTGTGATAACTACAAAGTGGAAAACTTAATTGTACGGTACGCAGATATGAAATACAGAATGTCAAAAAAGCTCAATTACTTGCATTCACACATGGAATTTTTCAGAACAAATTTGGGTGATGTAAGTGAAGAGCATGGAGAACGTTTTCATCAGCATATCCATGCAATGGAGAAAAGATACCAAGGAAGATGGAATGCAGCTATGATGAGTAACTACATCTGGTGTTTGATACGCGATGACGACAAACTTCATAAAAGAAAACCACGTTATACTGTTCACTTCTAGTGTTTTTTGAGATTTTGAGAGACTATTACATTAGAATATATTTTAACATTATGTAATATTTGTATGTAACATGATGTAACATTATGTAATATATGTATGTTACGTGATGTAACATTATGTAATATATGTATGTAAAGTGATGTAACATGGCATTTTGTAACACAACATAACATAACATTTTTGAACTAGTAAATGTTATATATTGACTAAAGTTGTATCTCATGCAATATGATTAACATTAATTATATGTTTATTAGAATATTTTTGGTTTTATGATCAAACGATTGATGCTATAAAAAACATATTCATACTTAGCATACTCAAATTAAATAAGAAATATCAAAATTTCGATAA